GTGTGTGTGTGTGTTGGCTGGATCTCTTTTTAAGCAAGAACTGGGGCAAAAGGAAGAACGTGATAAAAAGGTGGAAGTGGCTGAATCGCTTCGCAGAGCAGCCTGATAAATGAGACCTTCTGTAGGCATCTCTGCAGTTGGCCCAGAGCATGATGTAGCATTACGGGGGAGCACTAGTGAAGCGGGATCTTTCCAGAACCCAACTGCTCTTTCCTCTGTCTTGTTCTTTTTGCTAATGGCTGCATAAGTGACCTTCTCTCTTTTGAGTCAAGGCTATATTACTGGGGCTGTTATTTCCCTGATTCCTGGCAAAACAGAAGTCCCTCCGCCTTACGCCAGCAGTCTCGGAGCACGATGGAACCTTGCTGCTCCAGCTTTCACTAGCAAAGAATAAAAATTTTTTTCCTAGGCTAATCTTCACTTTCCCCTCCTTCCCCTTCAGCCTCTCTCAGACCTTTTAATTTTGCTGCTCTCTGTCTGAAAAAAACTTAATTAGAAACAGATTGGTTTTGAATTTTTGGAGCGCTTGGGGCTTTCTGTTGCCTAGAGCTGGCAAGCTCCCAGCACACTTTAGATTGCAGATGCGGAAAGATACCTGGTCCATCAGAAGCGCGCTGCCAATCCCCGGGCTGAAAGCAGGTACTGATTGCATCTGCTTTTGTGCCTGGCAGCCCTAGCCAGGGTTTCCTAGCTACTAGATCCTTCGTGAAGTGAGACCGTGTTGCCCTCGCAAGGTGAGCCCCGGTGGGCCAAAATACCAGTTATTCAGGACCTGAGTGCTGCTAGGGCTGGGTTGACTAATTTATCAGGCAGAGTTTCTCTGGGAGTCAACGAGAGGGCCCGCCAGCGGTGCGTGGGGGCATCCCCAAGCTGCTACCTGAGACAACGTGCCACTCAAAACCTCGAGCGTGTGCTGCGTCTCCCCCAGCAGCCTCGTAAAGAGCGCTTTCCTGTAGCAAGCCTGTCTTCTGCCTCCGTGCCCCCCACCCGCCTACGCTGCTGTTCCTCGCCTCCCGTGAGCTAAACGGCAAGAGCTCCGCAGCAGCCTGCAAGCGGCTGCGGTCGAGCGGGGGTTCTGCATCTCCTTTCCCTTTGTCAACAGTGCAGCTTTCTAGAGTAGGTGGCTCTGAGGCTTTGGGTTTGGAGTTGATACTGTTTGGGGGGATGTCGCTGTTCCTTTCGCGTTACTCGGTTTTCTGTCACCCGTTTGCCAAAGGAGCGCTCTCTTTTTGGTAGGCAACCTGAGAAGGAGATCAAGCATGAGCAGTCCTTGAACCAGCCTAGCGAAGAATCCCTGGAGGGAGTAGCCAAGGAGCTGGAGCTGGAGCTCGAGCAAGAGAAAATGCATTTATTGCAAGCGAAGAAGGAGAAAGTTCAGCAATTCCAGGAGGAGATGAGGCAGCAGGAGGAGGAGGAAGCTCAGAAGCTTCATCAGCAAAAAGAAAAATCCCTCAGGTACTTTCCTCTTTTACTCCGTCTCCCCGCTGTTTCTCCGCCAGCCTTTCCTAGCTGCGATTTCCTTGCCGGTGGCCGCAGGCTTGTGCTGTTATAGGCCACCACCTTGAAAGGGGTGCTACTTTGCCGAGTCGTGGGCAAAGGAGGCAAGAACAGGGCTTTTGGGGAGGAGGAGTACGGCGCTCTTTGCCTGGCGCAGACAACCCTGTGCGTGAGGAGCCGCACATCTTGAAATGAACAGCGGTCTGCTCTCGGCGCTGTAAATGCTTAAAGCGGATGTGTAGAGAGCACAGTCTGCCTCAGGAAAGCGCTCTCCGATACAGACGAGAGAGCATCTTTCCATGTCCTGCCAGACGAGCTCTGAGCCGATACACATGCAGCTTTCAGAGCTCTGAACCTGTCTCTTATGGTTAACCTGGGAAAAGTTTCCAGTTCAGCGCGTGGAGCTTTACCGCCTGGCAGACGTTCAAATCCTGGGCGAAACGGTAGTAACAGGACTGGAAATTGGAGCGGTAGAGGAGATGAGGTTACCCCAGAGGAACTATCTGAAACTCCGGTACTGTATGTTTTACAGAGGGACTTCCAAACAAGACTTTAAGGAATAGGGCATGGATATCTGTGTGAAACCCGGCCGGTGCGTGAGGGTCTAATAGCAACTCGGGGAGCGGAACAGCACTGGGAGCTGTGTCCTCTCCCTGGGGGGATTTTTCTCTCCAGGCTTGTATTTTATTTCAGCTGGCCTTGATACTTACCTTCTTAGCACACTGAGGCAGCCAGAAACAGTATCGTGACATGAAATGTCATTGGAATGCTGTCTTGGCAGCGAAGAAAGACGCAGAAATCGCACCTGAAGGGAAAAATGTCTATGCAGTAATAAAGCAGTACTACAAAGGGTGTCATATGAAAATACGAAGCTTACGGATGTACTAATGCATCCAGGTGCCTTGGCTGGAGCCTGCTTTCATTTAATAGGAGCTGATTTCATTTACCTGGGGAAAAAAAAACCAAAACCCAAGTGCCACCTATGATGATATAGTGCATTTTAAAAATGCGCCGCAGAAGTTTGATGCTCGGGGGCTGTGTCTCCCGTGCCAGCAGCCAGGTTCTGAAGGTATGCAGGAGAATTAATGGTCTGGAGCCCTGGAAATGCATCACTCGGGCAGGCACAGCTAGTGGGAGCGGCAGCTGATCTACAGGCCTTGGGGAGGTGGTTTGAAGATATTAAAGCCTCCAGAACCTCTTTTCTTTTTTTTTTTCTCTGGCTGCTCATCTCTCAGGGCTCTGAAAGAAGATTTGGCAAAGGTTTCTGAGGAGGAAGAGTTGCGTGCCAGAAAGGAAGAAACTGAGAGACTCTCAAAGCTGCGAGCCAAAATCACCTCGGAGACCGAGGCGGAGGAGGAGAAGATAAGGTGAAAAGTTTTGCTGCCGTCCCTGGGGACATGAACTCTGCTGGTTTGGGAGGGAAGCGTCTTGCATGCCACCAGCAACCGCTCAAAGTGGAGGTACTGGCCCACCGAGCCTCCCGTAGCTGGTAGCCTGCCTTGGTAGTAAGTACGAGGCCCTGACTACGACGCTGTATACGTGCTGGGGAGCCGTGTGTCGATAGAAGGTAAAACTGATGGGCCTTAACGGTGGCAGCTCTGCCGCCTCGGAGCTGATCCAACTTTCCTAAATAGACGTACAGTACATAAGTGTCCTGAGAGAGGTGTTGCTGTAATGTCGGACCAGGCACAGCTCTGGGGCATGTAAATGAAAGAATTTACATGCATCTACAAGGATAGCTGCACTCGGCAGCGTAGCTTGGTTTGAGTGGATGTCTCCGTCTAATGGCTCTTAAGGCCTGTTGAAACAACTGGGGGAGGCGGAAAAGGCAGGCGCTGGAAAAGTTACGTTTTGCTATTTCTTTTTTTACTTAGTTGACAGATATGTCTCCACCTGACTGCTTTGCTGTTTATTTCTGAGGCCCGAGTTGATACACTTGTGAATCCGTGTGCTGTGGTTCTTGGTTTCTTCTGGCTTGCGTGTCCTATCCCATAGCAGCGTCTTCCGTCAGCTCTGGCTCCTGAATGGAGCCCAGCGGTCAAGTACCAAATTCTGACCTGCTTCTGTCTCTGTGTTCTTGTTGCAAACCTACCAGGGCAGAGCAGGAGGTCGCGCTGCAGAAACTAAGAGAAGAGTGGGAATCCCTGCAGGCAGTGGAGAAGGAGAGCCTGGAGAGGAAGCAGCAGCTTGTTTTGGAGAAAATGAAGCTGGAAATGGAGGAAGCTCAGCAGAAGGAGATGATCGGGCTGGAACGAGAGAAGGAACAATTCCTGAGTGAGCTCAAGGAGAGATTAGACAGGGAAAAGAAGAAGGTGAGACGTGTATTGCCAGCTAGGGTCAGACCCGTGCTGTTCATGCTGGCCTGGCTTGCGTTGCAATGCTAAAGTGTTGAGATTAAATAACACCTGCGTGTACTTTAACAATGACTGCCTTAAAACGTAAAGGAAAGATGTTAGGCGTGCTGGTAGAGGCATGATTGAGGTGGGGAGGAGTACTCCCCCAATTTCTATTACAACGGTGATTAAACAATTATTTAAATGGGCACATTGCATCTGAGGGAAAGAGAGATCACTGTGTGCCTCTGCCGAGATAAACCGAGGCGTTTTACCAGATCAGCATACCTCTTTGGCTGCTGCTTTAGTCCTCCAGAGAGCTCGGGGAGTTCTTGAATGGAGGCAGGCTGTAGTCCTTCCAGCACAGCACGACTGAGATCCGTTGAGGAGGGAGGGAAAAGCGCCCTCCCGCTTGCGAGGGGAAAGCGCCTAGAGAGTAAAGGCACCTTGTATGTAATCCAGTTTGAAAGGGGTTTACCGTTGTGCTTTTTTGATGCTTACGGATAGATGTTAATCGCAAATGCATCTTGCGCAGCATGTCCCCACAAGTAGAGGTCTTCCAGCAGACTGTCTTGCTCGTCTTCCTGTAGGCAGTAGAAGAGCTGGAGAAACAGTGTGCAAATGAACTCCAGCAGCTGAAAGCTGCAGCAGAAGAGAAGCATCGTAAGGTAAAAGATGGTGTCCTCAGAATGTAAATCGTTTTTTTCCCCACACTGCCACCAAAGGTGGCCAGGGTGGGTGGCATTAATTTTCTTCCGCTTCCTAAATGTGGTTCTGGTCTGGCTCAGCATTTGGACGTGCTCCGAGTAGGGGGTGGTGAGACTGCACACACTGGTCTTTGCCACGGCGCTTGCTCTCCGTAGGAGGGTGCTAAATGGATCCTGTCAGAAGGGTGACAAGTCTCTGTGGGTGGCTTTCACGGCAGGTCATTTCCAGCCTGCAAACCCAGATAGCAGAGGCACAGAGGAGCGAGGAGGCTCGGCTGCGTGACGACTTGCAGAGAGCAGAGCAGAAAGTGCAGCAAAAAGCATGTCGAGTAACAGAATACGAATACGAGGCAAGTATTCACCTGGGATTGCTGAAGGTTCTTCACCCTCTCTCCTTGGGTGCGTGGTGAGGTCTGAGAGGCCACGTGCCCTGCCCAGGGGTGACAGCGGTGCCTTAGGGGAAAGGACACCCCTGCAGCATCTCACCTTGCTTTGTACTGCCCAGGCCACAGCCTGATCCCACTTGCAAGGTACTCGGAACTTCAGTCCCTCTGCTCGTGTGAGAGGTTGATCTCTTGGGGGGCCACCGTAGCGCGATGCTGTAGTTCAGGGAAACAGCTTTCCGTGTTACCCCTGCAGCTCAGCGAGCTTATGAGAGAGAAACGCCAGGAAGTGGAAAAAGACCATGAGAGAAAAATGGAGAGGATGAAAGAGGAGCACCGGCAGGTCCTAGCACGGATTCGGGATCAGTATGAGGAGGAGGTACTGCTGGGGGAGAGCGGTGAATCTGGGAGGCGACGGCAGTGGCTCGCTCGGTTGGGCTGTACCTGGGCTGGCGCTGCTGCTTGCCGGACCTGCCTATCTCAGCCAGTCCTAGAATTGGAAATCTCCTTTCCTCCAGGAGAACTGGGCGTTGTTGCCATGATGTAAAATGAATTTAGGCCGGGGTTATAAGGATAAGCTGTCAAAATAGTCTCTGTGCAGGCAACTTCCACACACGTCTGTGGACTTCCGTGCGAGAGAAGATTGTTCACGTTTTTGCAGGTGCCCGTTCTGGAAAGCCTTCTGCCTCCCGTTTTTGACTATACAGTCAGCAGTGTGTGACAAAACCTTAGTGTCGCGGGTTGTTTCGTCTTTCTTGGGCCATTCCCTTAACGGTGGTGTCCCTGTAAGCAAGAGCTTTTAATTTGCTGAATTTGGTGTTTGCTCAGGAGCTGCTGTGTGATGGGCTGGCTTTCCAGAGGGTGTCCCCCCTGTGTGTTCACCTTGGCTTGCTGGAGAACCCTGTGCCTCACTCGGCCACTTTTCTCATTTGTGTTTTGCAACAAACAGGAGAGAAAGCAAAGAGCAGAGCTGTTTGAAGGCCTGCAAAGTGAGATGGTGCGCCTCCGACAGCTTCATGAAGCGGAGGCGAAAGCTCTGCAGGCAGAGCTGGATGAGCGGCTTGCTGCATTGCAGCGCAGGCACAGGGAGAAGGTGAGGAGAACGCTTTGCCGAGCAGTTTGCTGTGACTTGGCTGCTTGGGGACGGCCTGGGGATGGTGACACCTCAGTGTGCCTGCCACCCTCTACAGCCCAGGGTGACGCACGTGGCAGGTCGCATTTTCCCAGTTTTCGTTGTTCCTCCTGGTGGCAGAGCTCTGCCCGGTGAGTGAGGAACTTGTGCCGTTCTCTCATTAACACAGCGTCTCTGTGCAGGAAAGAAAACTCCAGGATTCGGAAAACGAGCTTGAAATGCGCACGAAGAATGTCAAAGCCAGATCGGTGCAGCTCCTTAGCCAGGTGAGTCAGCCCTGTTGGGCCCGTGGAGGTTTCCTAGCCCGTGCTGCTCCTCTGGCTGCTTCCTCGTGGGGGGCTTTTCAGAAGTGCTCAGCCAGGGCTTTTGCTGCCATCCAAGTTACAGGTAAAGCTTCCGTCACAAGTCGGAGCAGGGCTAAGCATTCCTAGTGGTACAGCCTCATGGCTGATGGTTGCAGTGAAAGGCAGTGCTCTGGGTTTGCTCAGTGCTTTGGGAGACGGCAAGTGGCTGTAAGTGGCAGAGGGATCGTAAAAGCCTTTCAAGGCAGCATGTCCTGCTCAGCAATACTTTGCATTTTAGTCAGTCCCCTCCTGATTTACCTCCTCTTCTCCCTGCTGCCGTGAAAAGGGAACGAGTGCTTCTGGATCTTGGGCAGCAGAGTGGGAGAGGGAAGCGCTCCAAATGCTCCTGTGGAGCTGGCAAAAATCGCTGGCTGATGCTCTTGCCTGCCAGATCTCTTAAGTCCTGGCCCGTGCCAAGGGCTGTAGATAACCTTGCTTCTGCCAGCCTTCCCTTTCCAAGCAGCACTGGAGTGAGGAAGTAAAAAGGTGGAGAAATGCAGGAGGCAAGCAGAGGCTTCGCGAAAGCAAGGTCCTGCAGAAATGGCCACGTGCCTTGAATACTCTCGCAGCTGAGCAGGAAGGGGTGTTCTTCCCACAGGAATGCCAATATTCCCAGCTTCTCCCTTGAAGTCAAATAAAGGCAGGGGATCTTGAGGGGGGGGGAATAAAGCAAAACTGACAAGAGTCCTCGGGTGTTTTGAAATGGGCTTGAGACTCAGGCCTGACCTCTGTACTTCAAGTGCCGCTCAGCATCAGCAGTCTCCTCGCTCTGACACTCACCTGCTTTCTCCTCTGTGTATAGGAGGAGTCTCTGAGAAAGAAAAGGCAGCAGCTGCTGGATGAAGACAGACGGACTGAGCTAGAAAGAGATGTATGTATGTTTTAGCCCTGGAGAGGTGCTGTGCTGTGCTGCTTTTCTTTTGGGGGTGAGGGGAGCACGCTAGAACTGTGGCTTTAAAAAAGCAAACTGTCGCTTCTAAATCGTGAGGCTGAAAATCCCTCCCTGCCTCAGCCTGGAGTGCCATCCCGCTGAGAGTTTGAGCTCTGAGCTGCTTCCCAAAAAGAAGAGACGGTCCTGTTCTCCCAGGATTGGCACGTGGTGTGTGCGTTTGTAGCTCTGGGACCTCCTGCGAAGTGTGCAAGAAGCGAGTCTCTCGCACGTTGTGTGCCTTTCATTTTGGCTTTGGGGAAATTACTGCGAGAGATTTTCTGGTTTTCCTCTAGGAAGCTGCTGTCGCTGCTCAGCTCCGCCTAGAGGAGAACAGGAAGGAGCACGCCAGCCTCCTTGAGTCCATCCGGCAACTGCGTAGGTCTCTTGAAGAGCTGCAGGACCAGAAAGCTGAGCTGGAGGCCCAGGTGGACTTGCTGCAGACCCGAAGCCAGAGGCTGCAGAAACGCATCAGGTGCGTGTATGAGAAATCTCCTCTAATGCCAAAAAATCTACCCTACGCCCCTAACAGAACCTCTCTGACCTAACCTGGACCTTGCCCTTACCTCTGAGCTTCTTGTGTCTTGGGCCTTATTCCTTCAGAATCCTAACGGTGGTTTTACTGCACGTTGAGGGCATGGAGGTCCTGGGGTCTGTTTCCAGATCTATTAATAACTCGCTGTGTAAAGTTGTCCCTTTGCCTCTGCTTGTCAGGTTAAGTAAGTTGTTTGTCTTCTCCACATCTGTCTTGTGAGGTTAACAAGAGGCTTTGAGAGGGGCACTGAAATGCAAAGAAGAGGTTTTCCTAAGATAGCTGAGCTTCTGGGTAAGGGTGTGAAGCAATGGTTCCCTGCCCGGCCAGGGGTTACGTTTGGCATCGCACCACAGACCCGATGCTGGTGGTGTCTTGCACGTCTGCGGCCCTTTCCCTCCTGGAAACTGGAGGTCACTTGGGACACCACTGCGGATAGATTACTGGTCTAATCAGGTGCTGCCACTGTTGCCTTTTCTTGTGGCAGTGAGCTGGAGGCAGCCGTCAGGAGCAAACAGGAGACTTTGAAAGAACTGGAGGCAGAAGAAAGTGTGGAATCTCCAAGAAGGAAAGCTGAGCTCCGTGTTGAAGACCTGAGAGAAGCTGCTCAAGCTGTGAGTAAAGCAGACCGTAAAGGTGTTTGCCTTGTGAGATCTGAGGCTGTAGCTCCCTTGAAAATCCCAGCTTTTGTTCCTTCGGTGAGAACTCGTCTGAGATGCAGTGTTGCATTTTTCTTGGCCAGGGGACATCGACACGTTTGGTAGTACTTGTTGATTTCTGTCTATTATTACCGGGGAGGGGGGGGAAAGGCGTGTCGGATTCTCGAGTGCCCTCGGAGTCAAAAGCTGGGCTTGAGTCAGGGATAGAAATGTCTTTGTCAGTTTTTAAGTCACATAAAGGGCGTCCCTGGCACTGGTCTTGGATCTGGGCAATACCATGGTGATGTCATTCCGAACTTTTGCTCCTAATGGGATTCTTAGGGGATGCTGGGGTTCTGTTTCCCGTACGTATTTCTTAGTTTTTGAAATGTTTCGACTCCTCAGCACTCGTCCAGAGAGCCTGCTTCCCCGCCCTCTCAAAGCCATGAGGACAGCAACTTCCAATTTGATCAGTGAGTATCTGTATGCCAGCCGCTTCTGGAAAATGGTTTTGCTTTGGTTTTACGAGCAAACGTTTTTGCTTGGGTTTCCGCGCACTGCACCGACAGTTCGTTTTGGGGGAGGGGGCTGCGTGAGGCTTGCAGGTTGGCGCAGCCAGCACGAAGCCAGGAGCATGCCTGTCTCTTCCATGTAGCGTCAGGAGCTACATCTCTGCAGAAGGGATCTCCATCAGGAATGCCAAGGAGTTCCTGGTGCGCCAGACCCGCTCCATGAGGAAGAGGCACACGGCACTGAAAGCTGCAAAGCAGCAGTGGCGCCAAGATATGCAGAAGGCACAGGAGGTGGTGCAGGATCCTGACAGCTCCCAGCTCCTGGAGGGCGTGCGCAAGAACCTGGAAGAGGTGAGCCACTGAGCAGGCAGCGTTCAGATGTCAGGCATCCCGGCTGCACGAAGGAATCCACAGCCCTGGGATCGATTCCCGGCTCTGCAGGTGCAGTGGCAGGCAGCTGTGGGCGTTCAGTCCTCCTGGAAATCGGATCTCGCGTGTTTTTTGTGTTAGATATGCAGCGTTCGTCCCTGCTTGTGTCTTCCTCATCGTAACACAAGGGTGAGAGCCCTTCCCCTCTCAGGCTGGCTGTAGATTACTTGGGGAAGGCGAAGAGAGCTGTTTGGGAACGCAGTGTCTGAGGAACGGGCTTAATGAGAACCTGACTTAGGCTTTGGATCGCAGTGATGTTACCGTGCGTCAGATGAGCGGTCGAGAGTGCCTGTGCGTGCAAGCATAGCCCACAGCTAACGGAGCATTGCGTGGTAGAATAGTTTCAGTTCTGTTTCGCTGTGCGTGCTTTGGACTAGGAAGGCTCTACGAAGCAGTCGCTGCAGTGCAGCCGGTGCTCAGTAGCTGGCTAGACTCCAGGGGCTTGATCGTTAGCTGGAGCTCTTGGGACCTTAAAAATGGAGGAGGCGTTTGGTAGGGAAGAGGGATCCCCGTGCCATGCAAATCCCGTAACACGCTTTTTCCTCGTAGCAAAGGAGGTGACAGGTATTCATCCCATCAGCAGGTACACTTTTATGGCCGTAGCTCTAGAGTGATTTCACCCTTGCTTGGAAGAGGGTTCTCCAGTACTTGCCAGCTCTGCTGATACGCCAGCCAAAGACAGGGAAGATCATAGTTTCCTTCACTGATGATAGAGAGCACTTACGTTTGCAGAACCAAAGCCGTTGACCCTGTTGGGTGCAGGGTTTGGAAGTGCAACCTCCCTTTCCTTGGGGTGAACTTGCTTTGAGGCACGTGCTCTGCCCTCTGTACGCTCCACTTCCCACGCTCTTGAAGACGTGGGAGCAGTTTTACTCCGGCAGCGTGATTTCCTGCGCTGAGTAGACGTGAGATAACAAACGTCACCATGACCACTAACGTGGATTATTTCCCGTCATCCTTGTTTAATTTTCCTCCTCGGCTTGGCTGTTGCAGGAAGCAAAGCAGTTGGACAAGATGAAGTCGGCTATGCGGAAAGGACAGGTGCTGCTGAAGAAGAAAGAAGAGAAACTGAGCCAGCTGGAGTCCTCGCTGCTGGAGGAGGTAACCACCGGCATCACCGGTGCTTGGGCCTGCCCAGCGGCACTCCCACCCTGCCCAGAGCTCGTGGCCTCCTCCCCTAGGCTGCAGTCTCTGCAGGGCTTTCGGTCCCTGCGAGGGCTCGCTAGCGGGTGGCCAAAGACTGGCGTTCGCCAGCGGAGCTGGATTTTAGAAACGCATTCTCTGAGAGCAGAGTGGCGTGTCCGTCTGGGAACGGTGGGAGAGAGAAGGCTGGTCACAGAGTTGGAGAGAATGGCAAACTTCATCGAACTACGCCCCCCGTGATTCACTAGGTCTGCAGCCAACGGGACGAATGTGGGCTGGGGCTTGGGACGGAGACTTTCTTCCGCGGTGGCAGCTTGCCAGGCTGGGCTGCTGGCAGCAGGGATGGGCCTGGGTGGAGAAAACCTGCTGAGTGTATTGGCTTGTGAGAAGCTTGTCGGTTAGGTCAGAAACGAGTCACCGTTAACGCCGATATGCTGATGTATCCTACGATACAAACTAAAACCTGACATCACAGTGGTTAGATGTCTTATTCGCCGTCTGTATCTTGGTCAAGGTGGCAAATACTGTGCCTTCCCTCCGCTGATGACATCTGGACTCGCTGTTAAGCGTGTGGCTGCAGAGCGGGTACAGAAAGCAGCCTGAAAAAGCCGTGTGATTTGAGCCTAGAGAAAACAAGGGCAGGTCACCTCGTGTGAGCTAGGATCGAGTCTGCTTTCCTGACCGAGGCAAGCCTTGGAATCTGTTCAGCTCTGCCTGGGACCACGTGGCCTTAGGCAGGGCAGCAGCAGATGCAAGGGCACGAGACCTTCGATGGTCGAGCGCTTGTCCTTGGTGCAAAGAGAGAACCCAGGCCGTGCAAGAGTTTTGAGGCTAATTTAAAGCACAAACCACTTCGACTTCTGCCTAGAAGGGCCCGTTCGCATGGCTGCTAGATTTGGCCTCTAGTGCACGCACGCGCTTCTTCCAGAGACCAAGCAGTCTCTTGACTTTCAGATTTTGCTGTCAGGGACTGAAGACGAGCCTGCCTTCGTCCGTGCGGTCCAGGCTGTGTAGAGTAGCTGTAGGCAGTATTCCAGTGGCTTTTACGTTTCAGGGACGGAACAGCAGGCTTTATTTGCGTTGTTTTCCTTCTTTTGACCAGCTTTCGGACGAAGATACGCTGAAGAGCGCTGCGTGCAAGAAGATGGTGACTTTTGATCTCAGCAGCTCTGAGGACACGAACAGCACATCCAGTGTAAATCTACGTCAGCCTAAATGTAAGCGCCTGACTGGCTTGCTATGCTGAGCCCGAGGTATAATGCTTTAGACCTAGTTCTGGCTTTCCCTCTCGCCTCTCTGATGTACCTCCTGTTGTTCTCACTTGTGCTCATTAGCGTCTAAGGCAGGTCTGCTGTCCGTGACTGGGACTGCTCTGTATATAACGTCTTATTTGAAAAACTTGTTTCCTGCCTGTAGCGGCAGATGAGAGGGATGGAATCTGAGAGTGAACTTGCCTTTTAAACCTCTACCTTTGTTTTTCGAGTGGGTTATGAAACCTGGCTTCAGCTCTTCCCTCCGCTGTTGCAGAGCTGTGTTGCTCTTCTGCAGGTGTCTGGGCTTACTCTTCCTCTCACCTCTGGCCGGAGGGGCTGCTGCGATTCCCTGTCTGCTGCTTGTGCTTCTTGGTTTGCCCTCAGTTGCCTGTAACCGGAGTTGTGCGGGTGGGAAGAGGGGCTGCCCATAAACAGCCAGGAAGGCGGGAGGGTTGTCTCACTTGCAGAAAGGCTGGCAAGGCTGAAGCTTAAAGAAAAATTGGAAAACTTCCCTATGGCAACAGACTGACACGCTGTCCAGTCTGGGATCGTCTCTCTGACCCTGATCAGTAAAATATCTGCAGGCACACGCGAAGCTTAAGGGTTGTCTCTCACCGTAAGATGAGAGCCCTCGTATCGGCACGGTCCTGTTGGTCCTACCTCCAGCCTGGCTGCTCTTCTGAGGTGTCTGGGCTTACTCTTCCTCTCACCTCTGGCCGGAGGGGCTGCTGCGATTCCCTGTCTGCTGCTTGTGCTTCTTGGTTTGCCCTCAGTTGCCTGTAACCGGAGTTGTGCGGGTGGGAAGAAGGGCTGCCCATAAACATCCAGGAAGGCGGGAGGGTTGTCTCGCTTGCAGAAAGGCTGGCAAGGCTGAAGCTTAAAGAAAAATTGGAAAACTTCCCTATGGCAACAGACTGACAAGCTGTCCAGTCTGGGATCGTCTCTCTGACCCTGATCAGTAAAATATCTGCAGGCACACGCGAAGCTTAAGGGTTGTCTCTCACCGTAAGATGAGAGCCCTCGTATCGGCACGGTCCTGTTGGTCCTACCTCCAGCCTGGCTGGTGGCCTAGAGAGCTTCGCTTTTCATGAGCGTGTGAAGCGTAACCAATCCATTCTGCCTCCTGCTCAGTTTGTGTGCGGTGAGACCGTTGAAGTAAAGCATGATTGCCTGTGCCAGGGTCTCGTCTGAGAGGCAGGGTGCAGTACTGGGGGTCTCGGCACGGGGGATGCAGCTCCTGAAAGGGCTTGCCGTTTGCAAGGGAATCGCCATTATGTTAATGGCTGCACGGTACAGGGTACAGCAGAACGCAGAGGGATGGAGCAGGGAGGTGAAACAGAGGCGCCGATGCATATCCCGGCTTGTCCTGCAGGCCCCGTTCTTGCAGCATTGGAGGATCTTGTCCTTGCTATCTTGTTTCTCCTCCGCTTTGGGCCCAAGCAGCCTCCAAGGCACAAATCGTCATTGTCAGTCTGTATCTCCTCTGTTGGCTGCAAAGCCAGGTTTTTGCCTCTGTATCCCACTTAGCACGCACTGATCAAACTCAGCTCGGAGCGCAACACGCAGCGGAAAGCGAGGGAGGCGGTGTCTCCCTTGCCTTCCCAGTGACCCCTTTTTCCCCCCTCTCTCCTGCCAGTTGATTTGAGAACCGATTTACAGCCTCCCCCCCAGCTGGACAAGATCCAGTACTTGACAGACTCTCTGCAGCGCATCACTAGTGAACTGAACGGGGTCCTCGGCGTCTTGGGCTCCCTGAACAATCGCCAGTCTCCACTCTTCGCCTCGACGCCCTGCGACGGCGTCCCTCTGTCTACATATGCCTCCTTGGCGGGCCTTCAGGCAGGTGGCTCCCTGGTGCCCCCCGCCGGGGTGTCTCTGGTAGACCAGTGGGCCTGGAGCACTGGGCTGAGCTCTAGTCGCTCTTTCGTAGCTGGACAGTCAGTGGACAGCATCCTGGCAGAGAAATGGCGCGAGTATTTCCCAGGTAAGTCTCCTGTTAATCCACCTGCTCGCTTGCCTACGCCTTTTGGTTTCGCGGCCCTGCAGGTTCTAACCGGCTCACCCTTCCGAGGCTGCTGAGGCCAGATCCGCTGGTGCTGCTGATAGGAAGGGCGCTAAGGAGATAAGGAACGAGCACCTCATTCCGGGAGGTGCAGCCTATGGCTGATCTGGTCATCCTGCTTCTGGAGCAGTTCAGCCTTTAATACACACCCAAGAAAGCAGTTGTTACTAAAGAAGGAAGGGAAAGAGGAGGCAGCCCTGCTTCGCTGGAAGCCTCCTGTGACTTGCAGAGAGGGTTCACCATCTCGGTTTCCTTGACTCCGCTATGTCCTCGGCAGGTGGCTCAGCTTGTAAGGACAGTGTGTCCATAGCACAAGAAAGCAAATGCACCCAGATGTAAAGACTATCGATTTTTGGGGGGGGCCTGTATTTAATGTCTGTTTTCCAGGTGGGTTCCCGTCGCTCGGTGGAAGCTCCAAGCCTCTGGGCAACGAGCTGGGATACGTACCTGCAGAGTAAGGGTCTTTTTCCTTGAGTTGTTGTTTCATTGTGCTGCTTTTATTTCTCTGGAATGATGCATAGGTCACATTTCATATAACAAGTAGATAACAAAATCATATTAAGTAGACAAGTTAGCTACTGGTAGTTATTCACTGCCACGTGCTTGGCACTGCCTTGGAGCTTCTACCGTGAAGCCGCCGTCGTAGCTGTGCCGATAACCCTCATTCCGGGACCAGGGTCCAAGGGTGCCGGCACTGGGCCACGCCGGCTCCGCTGTGACAGGCGATGCTGTGCGGCTGGATGGAGCGGAGGCTGCCCCCCCGAAACCTTTCTGATGCTATACAGACGAAAAGGAGGACAGCAGCCTGATAGTGGGGGGCTGCTGCAGCTCTTCTCTATGATGTGGTTGGGCAGAGGACTTTGAGCCAAGAGGAGGTTGCTTTTTGTTAACCGTGGCTCTTTCTGTGGCAGCCCGTCGTTTTCTTTGTCGTTTCTGGGATGGCTTCTGCCTAGACCTCTCTTTCCCACTTGCGCTGTCTCTTTCTCTCATGCAACAGTGAGCAAATACGGCTGTTCCAGCACTCCCAGTTCCAGAGCCGTGAGTCAGGCAAGAGGAGTATTCAAGGAATGATTGAGACCAACAAGAAATGGCTAGAAGACTTCAAGAGGGATTCAAAAGCGTATCCTTTGCCTGGGTCTGCTCTTTAATTGCACTCCAGCTTCCTGCAGCAGGTAGGAGGAGACAGCAGGAGGTGAGCGCAGCGGGAGCGCTAAAGCATAGAACAGCAATTTCGAAGCCATAGCCTCTATTTTAGTGTCCGGTTCTGCAAAGGGATAGGATGTTTAGCAGTTAAGAGCGCGAGTGACCTGTTTGCTGTTCTTTGAGCTGTACTTGACCGGGAAGGTCCCTTCCCTTTCCCCAGGTGTGCTGTGATGCTCTTTAGTGCCACTGCTCTGCTGTGGTACACAGCAGTTGGAGCTGGTAATGTGAGAACGTAAAAAAAAAATTCACCAAAGAGTGCAGAATGGAGGAGGCGGCAGGGGCCTCGTCTCGGGCGCCTGCTTTTGGTGCCATCGATACGGCCCCGGCCACGTCGGTGACTTGGCTACGGGCAGTCCCTGCTGAGCAGCCCGGGATGAGGGAGCCGCGTCTCTGTGAGGCGAGGGTGCCTGGAGGCGTGTGGGGCAGCCGCGTGGCTGGGCGGGGAGGGCTGGGGCTCCCCGGCGGAGCTCTCCCTCCAGCTGGGTTTTGCGGCATGTCGTAGCATGCGGTTGGATGGGAACGGGCGAGACCTCTCGGTGCTCTTAGCGGGGATGTTTCCGGGTTTGTGTTGTAACAGCACTGCAATGCTGGGGCTGTCAGTATCTCCTCTGCGGTGTACGCTGATGTTAGCAGCAAATCCCTCGGGCCTCCGGTAGCGCACGCTGTCCTGAGCACGGTGCTCCTTTGAATTCCCTAATCCCCCTTTAATTCCATTTGACTTGGATGCAGCGGGCTAAATACAGCAAGCGTGTGCGCGGCTGGCTCCTGCCCCCCAGTACCTGTCCTGTCTGCTGGCTGTGCTCATGCGTGCTAATCCCTCCTGTAAGCCAGGCTTTTCCTTCACCCGGCTGCCAGATCTCTCTTCCCAGGTGCACAGAAGCCCCCTGCCAGCAGCCCCAGCCTACTTCAGCTAGGGCTGGATGAAAACAGACAAATTAAAGTGTACCACTACTAACAGGCGGGACTTGGCTCGGGAGAGACGGTGGCTGGGGCCCGTGCGGTCTCCCTAACGAGATACGGTGGGTTTCAGCGATGCCCAGCCATCTCCGCCGTGTCCTTGTGCTGCGCCCTTGAAACAAAGTCTCCTTGCCAGAGAGCGGAGGAAGGAGGAAGTGAGCTTCCCAGGTGGATTCTTCTAATCCTGTAATGTGTCCAAATATACTTTATAGACTGTTTAATCCAGTGGTGAAATATCAGGGCTTCAATAAATCAACGGTTCTCTCATTAGTATTCTAGCGATCGTGAGCCAGAGCTGTGAATCACGGAGGACGTTGAGTAACTGGTCAAGGGGGAGGGTGCGAATCCAGCTGAGACTCTGCTAGAGGAAATGTGTCGGGACACGAGCCCACGCTGGTGCCCAGCAAATGCCTAATTGCCGGCGGGCCGAGTCATCTGGCCTCTGGCACGTGTGCGAACAGGGGAGAACGGCTGGAGTCTGGGGACAGAGTCGGGCAACGGCAACAGCGAAACGGCTGTGGAGTCTGGGGACAGAGTCGGGCAACGGCAGATTCCGACTCTCGGGACACGTTCCTCTCTTTTGGGGTGGAAGCGATAGGAACTAAACCAGGAGTGGCTTTTTGCGGCAGATCTGGAAAAGCCCTCCCGGCTTCCTCTTTCTGCCGCGCCGGCCGGAGCTGCGCAGCGTAGCGGTGCTACGGGAGCTCTTCTCCTGCGCTACAAATGTGCCGACGGCAACGCGGAGCTGGGATGGCAGGAGAGCGTGGGGCGGTGTCTGCTGGTGCGGGCGCCGTTAAGGAACGCAGCCTAGTGTGGGTGTCGAGACAAAGGCCCACCTGCGTCCTTCCGTGCCCTGGGGAGAGGGAGCCGGAGCTCAGCTCAGCAGCTGGGGTCTCCTTCCACACGGCAGGGCTGGGGAGGCAGACCCGAGCCCTTGGTGCCCAGCCTGGAGCCTGGCCTTGCCGCTCCTGCAGCGGCTCCGCGGGGCTCCCGGGAGAGCAGGTCTCACGAGACCGTGACACGGGCTCTGCGTGGCTGGAGACCTGGCTGAGGTGTTGGGGTGCGCAGCTCTCCGACCGCAGCTGCGAGACGGTGGCTCGTTGCTTTGCTCACCGGGTGGCTGCCGTGGTGTTCCTCCGGAGAGGCTGGGTCCCCATCCCCCCACCCCCCCTCTCGCCCGCCCGCGGCTGGGC